AAACCAAAACACCCAGCAGCCCCAGAAGGATAAAACAGAAGTCATCTACAACATACAGTGTAAAAACTGCAACAGCTGTGTAGAACAAAGAGAGATCTGAACTACTGTATATGAATTTGTTCTGATAGGAATATATGTGTGGCAGAGGTCAAATACAAGCTGGGGTATCTAGTCCTACATTGATAGTGGCAGTGGTGGGATTCAAATAATTTAACAACCAGTTCTCTGCCCTAATGATTTCTTCCAACAACCAGTTCACCAANGACCTTTTAAACAATCACAGCAATCTACTAAAAAAAATTCACTCAAGTGAGAAATATGCCAAAGAGTAAAATTATACTGTACATAATTTTTGTCAATATATTTAATAAATATAAATGTAAATAAACGTATTATATTTGTAAATTGTAGTTATGTTGAAATTAAAAAAATATTACAATACTATTTTTGCGTTGTATGAAAATTTTTGTTGCCCCGTATAAAATTTTTAATCAAGCCCCCCCCCCCCCCCCCCGGTCAAAGGTGTCCCTCTTTACCAATCTGAAAATCTGGTCACCTTACTCCTGCTTTAAAGGAAAAAGAAATACTGACATGAATGTTGGACATCTCCTGAATGGTTATCGAATGTTGCTAATATTCATTATAGCCCATCATGAAACTGCATTCTAGCTGTTCAGGTAATATTGATTTTCTTCTTTGAGACCTACTATAAGAGTCAGTGTGCAACATAAGATTGCTGCACAAGGAGCACCATAAATTACGCCTTCCCCCAACAGCTGCTACAACACGAGAAAATTGCCCACAATTTATGACAAACCAATGGATATAAATAGCTGCAGTTTAAACTTATTTAAAATAAAGTCTAGAGAGTTCCTACTTTTTAAAAAATCTAACAATGCTGTTTTTCCATTAAAGCTGGCTTCTTCTTTCTTTCATTGGTTCTGAACACATCTTTACATGGTGAAGGGCATCATGCAGTGACAAAAAAGCCAGTAACTGAATTAGTTTTATTTTTAATGTGATAGGCATTATAACACAATGCTGCCACCTTGTGGGAGGTCAGTACTGGGATGGTTGATGGAAAATGGAGCATACAGTAATTTTGCCTTTTTAAATTTTAATTATAAAGTACACATATAAGCATTTGTACTCACACAAGAGTAAAAGCCTTGTTTCTATCAAATGAAATCTAAAGATTTTGAATAATAGAAATATAAGACTTAATACTTGATAGTCTGACTGATGCTACAGGTAGAAGGTATGACCATCACATTTTATTATACAATTATATAACTGCTTATCACCAGGAAAACTCCAATGAAGATATTTAAGAAATATTTTATTATGAAGTTTCTCTTCTTTTCACTTTATTTTTCCCCATTGGCATCTGAATATAGGAGTTAACATCTTATGAATTGAACCAATTCAACAAAACAGAACTGTGCCGCATATCAGGGTAATTTTGAAAAACTGATATTTTAATGGTTTAATGTATCATATTTTTCAAACAAAATTAAAACATCTTTTCAGTAAAATATATCAGTGTCCTAATCAAAGCTAAAAGTAAGCAGAAGTATCTTATTTCATGTAGAAGCTGCAGTAGAAGCTGGATTCTGTTTTTCATTTGCCTTTCTTAATTATGCTACAAATTCAAATACAATTTTATGGGAAGGCCTGATTAATTTTAAAGATATTTGGAGGGGTGGTGTAGTGATAAGAAATCTTACATGCTCCTGCTATGGTTGATAGTTCCATCCATTCCATCCAACTCTTGCTAATGTAACGATAAACATTCTTTACCAATACATTATTTTTTAAATCCCAATAATCGAAGTGACATAAAAGCATTAAGATCATCAACTGTTTTTCTGATATTGTTTCCTAATAGTCTAAATATGGCTAGCTGCTTTTCAACTAGCTGCTTTTCAACAGGGAAGGGAAAGGGGAGTCGAAAATCGAGGTAAAGTCTCTTTTCGTGAAAGGACACGGAATTGCAAAACTAATGTGTGTTTTGATTAACAAAAGGGGGTAGAAATATCTCCAAAAACCCAGAGCCGTTCAATCCCAACAAAGAAGCCACTGTTCCCTCCACCACTCGTCTCTTCGCTTTCTCTCTATTACGGTCACTTTGGGCTTCCATAGCAAAGGCGTAACCGCCCACGTCTCCTGTCACTATGGTTACACTTCCTGCAACAGTGAAGCTCGCTGCTCTGAAGTCTTGCGTTCTCAATCAGGTTGGTGATTAGCGAGGTCAGAAACAAGTAAAGACCAAGGGTTTCTGAATAACGAGAAATGGGATTATTCTAATCTTCATTTTTTTTAAAAAAAGACCATGGAACATTTTTTAAAGCGTCGTGATGATACGGGCAGTCTTTACCTGAAAACAAAACTCAAAACTACGACTCCCAGCATTCAACAGGATACTNCGGGATTGGGCGGCATATAAACTCATTAAATTGTGAATTGCAAAATTGCCTTCTCTATTGTTGTGCTTGCCTTGCACAATAGTATCTTTTTGGAGTCAATGACTCTACTGCCCATTCACAAGGCATTAAATACCTTAGTGGTCACACAGGCTTTGAACCAGGAGGTTAAGTGTATATTTTTTGTTGTTTTAGGAAGGGAAGTGCTCCTCAGTCCCAGGTATACATTATAGCAGTCTTTCTTAAAGTGTAGTCTTAGGTTCTCAGGGAAATCCCTCAAGACTCTCAGGGATCCTTGAAAATCAAAGTTATTTGTCAGCCTATGTTGAAAAATAATACATATTAAAATCTCATCAAATAACTGTGAGAAGCAGTTGCATTAATGAATGTACCAATATTAATTTTTAATATGTAACTATTGACAAATATAGCCCACATAAAAAGCCTCTTGGGATTCTCCATAATTTTTAAAGTCAGGAGGAGTCTTAAGAGAAAAAAAAGTTTAAAAGGCACTGCATTGTAGCATGAGGTTTCGAGATTTATTTTATATTCACTGCTATTGTTTTGGGGAAGGAGTTTTAATCTCTGTACACTGTCATCTCATGATATGGACTGCTTTATAAATTGTTTAAATACATGCATACATACATTTTCAGGGCTAGAACTAAAGGCTGAGATGGCATTATAGATTGATTTCGAGGTAGCTTTATGCTGTCCATTATTTCCTGTCAATTATGAGGAAAGGGGAAAGAAAAAGGATATGGAAATCTAAATATTATCCATACTGAGTATTTCCATCATTGAGGTAAGGAAAGTTAATTATTTCATAACTTTTTCATGGAAATTTCAGACAAGGAATATCAGACTTGAGGAATTAGAATATACCAAATTGTTAGCTTGTGCAACCCCACTGCATATTCAAATTATTCACTGAACCATCTTCAGGGTCATAAGCCTTATCTTTATAAGGCAAAACAATAAAGCACATATTGCTACTATTAAGTTACCACAGACTTTGGAGTTCTCTACATTTTGGGGGTCTGAAACACAAAGAATTTCNGTTCTCTGCCCTAATGATTTCTTCCAACAACCAGTTCACCAATCTGCTCAAAAAGTTAACAACCGGTTCTCCCGAAGTGGTGTGAACTGGCTGAATCCCACCACTGGATAGTGGTAATAACTTCATAAAACCATTGTTCATGTGGATGAACTAGAGTTGGGCCTGATGACTGTGGCAAAGACCGAAGAATCAATACGTAGACATATTGACTTCCAACAACCACTCTTTTGAAAGGAGACTGCAGGACAGCAGGTTTGGCGCTGGGAGACTGAGCCCCAGCCCCGTTGCTAATCCATTGCAATTTGGATTGGAATTTCTGAGATTTGCTCAAGAAATAGCTGGGAGCAACCATGGAGACAATGTTAGAATTGCTCTTTATCTGCATGTACAAACATGCATGTATTTCACAGCATATACATTCCATATTTATTAAGAGTTAAGAATCATTCTACAAATGGGAACTATTACTTAGTTTTTAAATTTAACATTTTATGATTGCAACATGAATCTCCTGGTTTTATTACGTATGGGTCATCCAGAGGCAACTTGTTCTCAGTGGAACTGTGAGCTCCACCCTGTTCTTGCTTAAACAATCACTTCTCTTGGGATGAAAGAAAAATTGAGCAAGGGTATGTGATCCTGTCTGGACTAGTAAACACCCAGTATCTGATTCATTCTTTGAAGTTGTAAACAAATGAAAGGTAGGATAATTCAAGTCTAATTTCCTAGGGTAACCAACTAATAGTATAAATATGTCCATCATAACATACCATGCAATACAGGCCCAATTCATGTTCTGTCAAAATAGAAACTTGCTCCAGTCAAAGAAATATTTAAAAATGTCTCATAATCTTCATAACCAAGTAAAAATGTCCTTACACAATCCTTTTAATCAAAAATTAGGGACATCGATGACATTTCCCTCCAAAAAAAATGCACACAAAAAGCATTGATGAAAACTGTGAAGTTGTAATGAAGTTATTCTGCATAATTTTACTTTGCTCCCTCACTCTAAAAGAAAAGGAGAAAAGGGAGATTTAAAACTCTTTAATCACCAAAAGGCAGTTCAGTGTAGTGATCAAGATGCCAGATTTGGATTATAGAGACTGAGAATCAGTTGGATTAGTCATTCTCACACTGCCCTGACCTCACTGAGCCAAGACAAATATAAATAAGATTTCTTGCAATTTATTATTGGTCCATCATTTAAGATGCTAATAGAAGATATTTGTTTCAATATGCAACATAATATACAAAAAACATACTCGCCTGAAAAAAATTTATTTAATAATTGGTAAGTTTTTCTTAAGTATTTCTTCCACTTGTATGTATTTCTGGTCTTTAGAAAAAACATTTAATGTCTGTGAGCCCTGCTGCTGTTATCTAGCCATACTCTGAGTTCTATCTATGAAACAATGTTACCTGGGGGACCCCAGGAGTTGTGCCTTCCAAAAGGCCACCAAAACCTGGCTGTTCCGACAGGCCTGGGGTTGCTGANCCATGGAACATTTTTTAAAGCGTCGTGATGATACGGGCAGTCTTTACCTGAAAACAAAACTCAAAACTACGACTCCCAGCATTCAACAGGATACTTTCAAATAAGTTTTTAAGGATTGCTTTTCAAAGGCACCATGGAACTGGTAGTCCTCACCCACTTAGAAGAAAGCGGACTTCTATAGGCAGGGTAGGCACCGGTTAATTTAAAATCTGAGATAAAGCTGAGATAGATAATTCCATCTATCTTTCTATGCCAATGTAATAGTTACCGTGAGAAAGAATAATTGCTTTCTCTTCGTTCATATGTATTTAACTGAATTATGCACATGTCATCTCAAATCTGGATAGCCTGAAATTGAATAGATTCATGTTATTTTAAAATAAAACTTGAACGCTTCTATTTTATTAATAGATGGCAGTTGCAACTCCATTTGCACCACAGAGAGACATAAACATACATAATATGAGAGGAGATGAACTAATGAGCATTTTACAAGTTATCCAATTAATATCTGGCTAGTTAAATATTCACTTAAGAAGGATTACCTCTCAACTTTAAGATTTTGCCCATTTTAATTATTTAACCTACCACTACATTTACTATTTTTGAGACATGTTCTTTTTATTTTAATACGGTTTTTGTAATTAAAGGCTTAAAGATAACAGTAAATAGAAAATTGAATAATTTGTATATATATGTAGATATATGCAGATATATGCATACATAGATATTTGTTTATTTATATGTATGTTTTTACATTAGAAAGGATGGAAGAAGTGTATGATGATGTAGGAATTGAAGAAGAAATAGAACTTGAGTTGGGGAAAACTAACTATTCTTCATCTGAAGCAGATGATTGTGATACTGATTTATCAGCAGAAAGTTCAAGTGATAGTGAAACAGTAAGTATTCCAGAATAATAGGAGCAATAAAAAGATTTTACTATGTTAATATTATAAAATAATATGTCATGTTCTATATGTGAATATCATTCCCAGATTGACTGATAAAATAAAAGTTTGCAGAGCATTTTGTGTCTGTGTATTGAAACATGTACAACAAACTATAATGACACTTAAATGGTGATACACATTCATCATAATGCAAATGCATCTATTACATATTTGTGTCAGACATAAGGACACAAATATGTAAGTTGCAGCATTCTATAATAATGTCATACATGTTTTATCATTTAGCCCCCTTGAATATATAGTCTTTTTGCATAGAATGCTTTTTGTTTTCAAATTTGGTTTCCCTTTTATTTATTTTTTTCTAACTCCAATCTAGGAATTAGATCCTTGTCCCTCCTGGCTGGTGCAAACCTCCAGGACAGTGACCAACAGTGGGTGGGTTCATACAGTGGTAAATTCCTCACTGCAAAATGAGGTATTCCCAGGACCTTTTAAGGGGGCCCTGGTTATCCCTCTTCTTTAAAAACTGTCAGCTTCACCTGCCTCAACAACTTTAATCCAATTTCCCATCTTATGGAAGATGATTGAAAAAGTTGTTGCTTAGCACCTTTAGGGGGTCCTGGATGAAATGGATTTTCTGAGCCCCTTTCTGTCAGGATTCAGACAGAGCTATGGGACAGAGACAGTTTTGGTCACACTTATGGATGATCTCTGGCAAGAGCAAAATGGGGACAATACAACCCATTTCGCTCTGTTTGACCTTTAAGCGGCCTTCAATATCATCAACCATGGTATCCTTTTGAGCTAGCTACTGTTGCTGGAGTTGAGAGGTACAGTTTTGTGCTGGTTCGGTTGCTTTCTCCAGGGCCGGTCCCAAACAGTGTTGATGGATCCTCTCCCTGACTGCTCACTTGCAACATTCCTCAGGACTCAGTACTTTCTCTTCTCCTATTTAACATCTATATGAAGCAGCTGAGGGAGATCATCTGGCACCAGGTGATGGTCCCTGGAGCTGTAGGGACCTGAATGGGAGACAACAGGCTTCATCTGAATCCTAGCAAGTCCAACTGGCTTTGGGTGCATGGAGCCTCAAAATCTGAGTTCTATCATCCTTAGTTCTGGACAAATTGCACTACCTCATTCAGATCCAGTTCTCCTAGATTCACGATTCCTGTTCAAAGAACAGGTGGTAGACATGACTAGGAGAGCCTTTCCCACCAACTGTGACCCTACCTGGAACTTGACTCCCTGCACTCAGTGACTGAAGCTCAAGTAATCTCTCATGTGGATTACTGAATTCACTGTACATGGGGCTACCCCTGAAATCCATTTAGAAGCTTCAGCTAATTTGAAGTGCAGTAGCAAGAGAAGGCTTTGAGGGTCCTAGAATGACCCATATTACACCACTGCTTCACAAACTGCACAGCTACAAGTCTGCTTCCAGATATGGTTCAAAGCTCTTAATGGAATAGATCCAGGATACTTGTTAAATTGACTTGTTCCTCTAGGACAAGCATTCATGCTGGCAGAGGGCCTACTTTAGATCCCATTGGTCAAAGAACTCTGACTATTCGGATCCAGAAGAATAGCCTTCTCTGCCACAGCACCTACCCTTTGGAACATCCTACTCTCCAAGTAAGATCTGCCTCCAACCTCCTACCCTTCAATAAGAGCCTGAATACCTGGCTCTGCCAGTTGGCCTGGAGACTCAAAGGGGGAGTACCAGACTAGAGGTGGCTACTGGATTGATATCAACCCTTGCTCCCTACTTCCCTACCTATCCATCTTTTATTTTCATATCACTGTATCGTTATTTTCTTTTTCATTATTTATTCTATTGTTCCATTAATTTACTATTGTTATACTTACACTTCTTTTCGTTTGCCTTTTTTTTTGTAAGCCACCTAGAGTAGCCCCATAGCAAGATAGGTGGCAAATGAATTTAATAAATAAATACATTTATGCTTATTTCTCTTTTGACAGCGGTAAAGACCATTTTACATTTTATTTAAATTTATTGTTTGTTTCCCTCTGGAAGCGGAGAATATCCTTATGGGTTTTTTTAAAACTCAGAGTAGATAATCTTTTTAAAATAGAGAGAATCTCAGTGATGTCTGGGGAGCTATTTAGAATTTACAGCAATTGGGGGAGGCAGGGTATGTGAGAATGTTCTCATACTTCTTCCCTGTCTCATTTTCTTTCCCAGAAGAATCTAATACTGCTTTCAGAAATATGATTGGTATTCTACATACAGAGATGACTAATAGACTTGCATTCCATCAGTCACCAAAGAGGTGAAGGGTAGAGCTGGGGAATATAAATTGATAGGAAAGGCTGGGGCATCATGGTGGGCTGTTCAGAGGCCTTCCGTGTGCTTGGGCTATCTATATATGAATTAAAGACAGAATTCTGAGTCAATATACATAGATCACATATTTGGGACTTTGTAGATAAAATGGTTGACTTTGCCTAAAATGCACTATTAAAAAGTTTAGTTGTACTCCCTTTAGAAATTTATTTTATCTTAAAAAGAGAGTGTCAAACTTTTCTTTGAATGATCAGAATAGATTGGGCTAATTAAACTTTTCTCCTTCCTCTTTCTAAAATTGCTGTTCTATCTAACAGAGCTACTAAATGTTGGTTGTAAAAGTTCTATTTCTATCTTGCACATGTAGGGACAGGTTGAAGACAAATCTAACTTAAGCATAATTAATAGTAGTAACTGTCAATTTTAAATAATGTAAAATCTACATCTAGATTCCAGAAGAATTACCAGAATCTGTTCTCCAGTATTTAGATTTTGTGAGAAGCAGAAGTCAAAATGCAGAAAAGCTTCTATTGCAAGATTTGGAAAATGATGAATTCTCAAGTAAGTAGTGATTTAGCAAACTATTTTTTCATATGCATATGGCATTTATTCTGTAAAAGTTCTTCAAGTAATACTACTTTCTATCTACATTCAACTATTGTAATATATATTTCTACAAATAATAGACCACTATTTTTATTCTGAAGCAGAATATTATGGGACAAAATAACATATTACTGCATAATTTCTGCTGAACTGTCTAGTGATAGGGCAGACCTATTTTCTCAATAACTGGGTTCCAAGGAGAAAACTGCTGGTGAGTGTTTGAGGACAGTGAGGAAGAATAATATTTAACCAATTTGTCCTATTAAGGGAGAATAATATCCAGTCTGTTTTAGTGGTTAAGGCACCAGGCTAAAAACCAGCTATCTTTGAGTTTTAGTCTCACCTTAGGCATGAAAACACACTGGATAACTTTCGGCTAGTTCACATCAGGCTTGGATAACAAGTCAGTCAGTCAATTTCTTTCACAATCAATGGATCAAAACTCAGTTTATTAGAGAGAGAAAAGCAAATCATGTACTTGCACAAAAACGCTAGAGGAAAAAATTGAAGGAGAACACTGAAAATATCTTAGTGCTTCTGATTTTGTAAATTGAAGTTGACTGTAAATTTTCTACTCCTTAGTATCTCTGTCTGCAGTATTTGTATTATTTTTAAATGTGTTTTAAAGAAGAGAAACTGATTTGGTATGAGATATTTATAATCTTTGACTTGATGGGGTAGAAAAATGAATAATAATTTCAGATAGACTGACTATTACAGCAAAATAGGGAGAATAGGGTTGTATTCTCTCATTTTGTTGTTTGTTAGACAATGAAAGTCCTGGAAGATTTTTGGCAATCCTGCAGTTTGAAGTGATGCTTTTGATTGTCTGTCTTTTGGTAAGTTCATGATTAATCAAGTGATATAAAATTAGAAGTGTAGTTATTTCAAGATTACACTTCTAATTTTACCAACACCCTAATAGTAAGCATGTCTACTTGGAAGAAAGTGCTAAGTAGATTGCCTGAAACTATCTGAAGGATTTCATTTTTGTTTAATTTTGTTATCGTTGAGATATATAATTATGTTACTCAGAATTTCAACTAACTTGCAAGAAATGTTTCATCTGAATATTCAGGAATTAAAATGAGTGTACTCAAAGTATGAGTAACAGTTTCTTCATTTGCAGGTGATGTCTATTATATTGTTCCTAACAACGGTTCGGAATATTTAGCTGAATTAGCTTCTCAATATAATGAAGATCCAGAAGAACTGAAAAAAAGGGTATTGTATACACACAAACACACACACACCCCTACTTGATTGCACCATTTTATCCCACTGCCCCATTTTATAGCACTTTAATATTTTCTACTGTGTGAAATTGCAATAAATTCAGCAAGACCAATTTATGCTATCCTGTAATCAAATTATGTTGGTGAAAAGGAATCATTCAGCTAAATCTGAACAAGCAAACTCTTATTGCTTGAAACAGTGCATGAAACTTGAATCTGATGCTTTTGAGTATTGAACAGATGTTATAAGGGCTAATAATCTCTGCACAGTACATCTTCAGATGTTTTTTGTTTTTACTTAAAATTAATATCTATCAATAAATAGCTGGTTTCTTTTTGTTTGCTAAAAAGAGCCTAACTTAGTTCAGTGGGAATTAACTACCAGATAAGCTTCTTTAATCTTTTGTTTTTTAAACATTTGGGGCTAGATCATCTAAAGGACACTTCATTCTTCAGAAGAAATGTTTTATTCAGACAATCATAAACATGATTTTAATTAGGAATTGAGTATAGAATAGATAATTGTCTCCTTTTCTTGTGGTCTTCAATTTTATTCATCAACCGGAATGACCATTAGCAAGAATTCTGGGAGTTCAGGTGCACATATTTGAGAGCATTTAAGATGGAAAAGACTGCTATATCCATGAGATTCTTTCTCCGCATAATGATCCATTGGGTGATCATGATTGCAGTGATATTTAATTTTAGGGAGAGATGGGAACAATTGAATCACAGATTTGGATTTTCTAGATTCTGAGTATATAGTCAGCCATTAAGTTATTATCTGTACCCAAAATAGAATTGTATAAATTAGTTTTTTCTTCACACAATTAAGTGAAATTATTTGAACTGACAAGTATCAGTCTAAGATCATTGAATAAAATGTGTAAGTAATAAGATTTATATCTTAAATTATTTTTTATTTAAATAGTGTATACTATAATAATTTTTAGTTGGAAATTAGGGTGCAGATGTAGGAAAAAAATCAAAATGTAAAATGTATTCCAATTATTAAAGGTTGTATAGATTTTTAAAAAACTTCTACATATTTTTTTTTACTTTAAATATTCCCACTTTTTATCACTGTATGACTTTCTCATAACACTGCCAGACTTTGGTAATCTGTGACCTCTGTGTCCTTTTTAGTAGTCCCCAGAACCTCTTTGTTCATGGCTGCTGAAAGTTATAATTTCCTGTCATTTTTAGTATGAAATGCAGGAGAAAATAATTTTAGAAGGGGTAAAATACATGTAAAAGAGTTAAAAAGCTAATGATGCCCTAACACTCCAATCTAAAACCCAGTCCTACCAACATGTTTCATAGATGCTTCAGCCTCTCCCAAAATTCTGATGTGACACTTAGCAACCAAATGTCTACCAACCACCAACAAGCCCTGTTGTGATTTTTTTAGCCTGGATTAGCTACATGTTTAATGTGGCTTACTTCCGAATCAGATGTATAGGATTCCACATTCATTTATATTTTTTTCTGTGAGAGAAAATATGTATACATTTACATCAGCGCCTTATAATTATTTTGTTTCAGCAATATTTATTTTAAAAAATGTAATTGCATTACTTTTGGTTAATAAACATGACAGATTATATTTTTTCTATTCAGAAAAAAAGAAAGAGAAAAGATAAATTTTGGCAGTATAATGTATCGTGTCAGACCATAAATGTTTTGGTGGCATTTTTACATTTATATGTTTGAATAAATCTTCATTAATCAGATGACACTAACTGACTAAGAAGTCTTAAATGCAAACCTATGCCTCACTACCTATGCAGATCCAGCTGTTGAGGTTGCACACAAAAGTCCCTGTGAGAAAATTAATGGTATCTCTGGCCAGCAATTCACAAAGAAGAATAAGGAAGCTGAATCCTGCTGTTCTTTCTACCAGACAACTTTTCTAACAGCTCTTTGTACAAACATATTTGGATTGTGGTTGATACAAATGCTATAGAAGTTTTCTTTCATAATAAAAAATGCCCCGGTTTTTTATTTTCTAAACAATAAAAATAATTTTATGTAGTACTGAGGTTTCATAATTTTAAGGTTCAAAATATTTGCTGGTTTTTAGGTATTGTCTGAAATAGAAGATGAGGAGCAGATGAGCGAGTTATCAGAAAGTACTACTGAGTTAAAAACTGATCAGGATATTTCTTCTAAAAATATAGCTGATGGCTATTCTTTAACAGGTAACCAAACATGCAATCAAGTTTTAATTGCATTAAATTTGTCTTAAATCAGAATTAAGGAACTCCTTCCTTTCTTCCTTTCCTCCTTCGTTCCTTCCTTTCTTTCTTTCTTTCAGGTCTCCAAAGGCTACTTTTACCCCCAAGCACTTTGATGAAATAGTGGACCCCAAGTTCACTATCCTAATTTATTTTTAAGTTTATTTCTTTATTAAATTTAAATCTATTTAGTATTGCAAATGATTATTATATTGTCAAATTTATTTGCCACTCATCTTGTGGTCTAAGGCAACTCTAATGGAGCCTTTAGGGGAGTATTAAAATGTATTAACACAGATAAAAATGTCTCTTTATTTTAATGCATGCAAATCCCTTAAAATCATCATGAATTAATGATATAATTTTACTGAAAATCATACATTTATGTATATATGTATTCTTTTAGATGCCAATGACATACCTATCAACTTTAGTTTCCAAGAAGTTGAAGAAAGGTGCAAGCAGGAGTATCAGTATTGGTTGGAAGAGCAAAAAGTACTATTGAAAGAAAAAATGAATCAATTGAAAGCTAAGAAGGACATGGAAATCTCTCAAAATGAAGAAGAGGAGAAAAGACGACAACTACGTCAAGAAGAACTTGAAAATGAACGGCTGAACTTAGAAATGTTTAATGCGGTAATATATTTAGGATAAAGTAACAATACTTACAGGTCATATTATACAAACTACAGCAACTGGATTTTGTAATGAACTATTACCATGGGAAGTGCTCCTTTCAGAATATATCTCTTTTATTTCCTGTTATGTTATTGAACAGTCAGATTCTCTACCAGCTGAGCATGTTCAGTCCTCTTTGGAATTTTGAAGATATTTATCCCTTTAGGTTTTTATTCTTGCAAGTTTTTTTTATTTCTTGAGCCTGACAACAACTTGTTCCCGTATTGTCAGACCCAAGGAACCAAGAACAACACAAACAGTTGCTTCAAAGTAGTTTCTTTATTGTTACTTGCCTGTAGACAGATATCTTGCAGACTAAAACAGCTATCTGAATAACTACTAGATATACCCTGCAAACTGCTGAGGGGAATAGAACTTCTCTCTTTAGGCATATCAAAAATTCCAGGCCTGTTTGTCTCTTTGCTTGTGGGGGGAAGAGCCTCTCACTACTGGGACTCTGGCCCACATTCTACCACATATATGTAGATATGGAAGTCCTTGACTTACGACCACAATTGAGTCCCAAATTTCCATTGCTAAGTAAGGCAGTTGTTAAGTGAGTTTTGCCTCAATTTACAACCTTTATTGCCACAGTGAATGACTGGAGTTGTTAAGTTAGTAACATTGTTTTTAAGTGAGTCCGGCTTCCCCATTGACTTAGCCTGTCAGAAGGTCTCAAAAGGGGATCACATAGCAAAAGCATAGCACTTAGATATGTACCACTTCATAGTGCTTTTACAGCCCTCTCAAAGCGGTTTTTACAGAGTTAGCATATTGCCCCCAACAATCTGGGTCCTCATGACCCAGGACACATGACCAGGGACACTGCAACTATCATAAATACATGCCAATTGCAAAGCAGCTGTATTTTGATTACATCATTGTAGGGATGCTGCAACATTTGTAAGTGTGAAAAACAGTCATAAGTCACTGTTTTCAGTGTCGTTGTAACTTTGAACAGTACTAAACAAATGGTTGTAAGTCAAGGACTATCTGTATTACCAATTTAGCTTCATAAGGCTCAACACAATACATTGAGGATACTCTTAGTAGCAAGTCCTGCATGTAACATATGTGGGTTTTGATTCTAATGTGTTAATCACTGATTAAACATTATTTGTCAACATTAACTTTATTTATTTATTTTAATACTGAACTACCTTTTATAATACTGACCTCATAAATTCAAGATGTTGAGCTCCTCCTATTTTCCCTACAACTTTGGGTTGAGTGAAAATGACTGGCCCACAGTCACCCAATAAACTTCAGGTGGCACAGTGGTTAAATGCAGCACTGCAGGCTACTGCTAGATCAGCAGGTCAGCGGTTCAAATCTCACCGGCTCAGGGTTGACTCAGCCTTCCATCCTTCCGAGGTGGGTAAAATGAGGACCCAGATTGTTGGGGGCAATATGCTGACTCTCTGTAAACCGCTTAGAGAGGCCTGAAAGGCCTATGAAGCGGTATATAAGTCTACTGCTATTGCTATATTGCTATTCAGTGTCTGAGAGTGATATAAATCTTGGGTCTCCCTGCTCATAGTCCAATACTTAACCTATATATATATATATATATATATATATATATATATATATATATATACACATACATACTCTCAAGTAAAACTGATGAAAAATTTTAAATGATTTTTAAAAGCAACCACCTTTTTGATAAGTACAAAAAGAATCTTATTTATCTTTGGTAACTTCACCAATCAGAACATAGTTTTCAGAAATGTTACTTAAAATATTAACAGCCAGGAACTAGATTTATTTATTTGCCTATCTCACAATAGTGACTTTGGATGGCATAAAAAGATTTTCTGGAAGGATATTAGATTGTACAAACTTTATTTTCTGTCACTTTCGATTCTTTTCCATCTCATTTTGTATAATGGCATAAATATATTTGTAGAGATCTGATCTGATCGATGGGGTCACAAAGAGTTGGACATGACTTGGTGACTGAATAACAAAGAACTGATGGATATGCATTTAAATATTCTGGAAATTGCAGTTTCTCCATTTGAAGTACCATTTGCTATCTGTAAATGCCTTTGAACATAAATATGCTGGTCTTGTTGTATTCGGGTCTCTTCCCGTGTAAGATTGAGATTGTCTTGGCAACATTTCGGTGAGGTCCCACTCGCCATCTTGAGGCTGGTGTTTTGGGCTTGAAGTGTGATCAGAACTGCCCCAAAACACCAGCCTGAAGATGGCAAGTGAGACCTCGCCAAAACGATGCCAAGACAATCTCAATCTTACACGGGAAAATACCCAAATACAACAAGACTAGCATACCTACACCCATATATATGTTTTCTGAGGTTTTGCGGATGTTTGTATGTAGGTCTTTGGTTATTTGGGTTTTCTCCCTCGTAAAATTGGAAGTGTCTTTGCGAAGTTTCGACGAAGTCTCATTCGTCAACTTCAGGCTGGTTTACTCGGTATCGTGCTTCCAGGAGCAATGTGAGATTGTAGCTGTTTCTTCCTTTTAACTTCTAGTGGGGGTGTGAGCTGATTGGTTAGGAGCCTGGCTGTGTTCTGATTGGGTGGAGGTGTGTTCTGATTGGTTGGGGGTTTTATGTTCAGCTTAGTCTGAGTTGCCAGGGGACTTGAGCTGGTGAGCTGCGTTGCTGTGGTTTGGCTTTGTGTTTGTGGTCGTGCCAGGTCTTCATGGGTGGTGTCAGTCTGCTTCATGTGCTTCCTGGAAGCACGATACCGAGTAAACCAGCCTGAAGATGATGAATAAGACTTCATTGAAACGTTGCAAAGACACTTCCAATTTTATGTGGAAGAAAACCCGAATAACCAAAGACCGACCTACATATATATATATATATATATATATATATATATATATATATATATATATATATATATATATATA